ACACATACATACACACACACACACACACACACACACACACACACATACAATCTTATTACAAAGGTAAGACTGAACTGAAAGAATTAGGTCGGTAAACCAATTATCATCTGGATCTTGAGGATTTTGAAATTGTAATCACTGCATAGCTAGTTGATTTGGTGTACATAGAAATAATTCACTGAAGATCTCACTCCCTAGCCAAGACTTAAAAAAAAGAAAAAAAAGAAAAAGGTACTATATCATCAGTCACAGAACACCTCTGTATAATTTGAAATTTGAAATCCAATTTCTGGGCCCCAACCTGGCCTCCCAAATGAGAATCTTTTTTTTTTTTTTTTTTGGAGGGGTTTTTGCTATAGGGCATGGGCGCTTGCCAAGACAGAGACAGACAGAAAGAAAGAAAGCGAGAAATCACCCCCCAGGGGGGATGGCCACGCCACAATCCCTTCTCCTCCATTCTCCTCTCGGGATCTTGGGCACGCATGCACACACGCCCGGCATGAGTTTTAAGTCAGCGGGTCCGGACTCAAACCACGGTCGACTACGTGAGAGTCCAGCGACATAGCCATTACGCTAACTGCTGGTCCCCAAATGAGAATCTTTAGGGACGTGACACAAGAATACAATTTTTAAATTGGTCCTAAGGTGATTCTTAGATTTTTTTAGAACAAGTGTGTGAAGGCAGTAAATAATGTCCAAATGATAAAAAATTATCATGCTTTAAAAATTCTAAAACACAAAATAGTAATTTTTTAAATATAAAATCTCACATGTATTTAATCCATTACCTTGCTATTGCTTTAAAATAAAGGTATTTACCCTCATTTACTTCAGACAAAATCACATCCCTTTAAGTTTATTCTTTATCCAGACTGCGTGTGCATGCACACACACACACACACACACACACACACACACGCGTGTGTGTGTCTGCTTCTGTTGTTGTTTTCCTTTAAGATAGTCACTTTGGTTTCAGATGCCTTGATAATTCTCCATTCTTAAGGTCTGTGCCATCTGCAGACGATGATTTCAGAAGTCATTTTAAAAACCATTCCCTTTCATTTTCTTCGCAAGTGAAGAAACTGAAACTCATACTTGTTATGCAGCGTAGGATGCACATAACCGATCAAGGGCACGACTTTGAGAGGGGGCTGGGTTTGCATTTTGGAATGGCTACACTAGGATTAGCTCAGAGGTGCTTGGACTTCGTTCACTGTCAACGGGCTGATCATACCTCTCTCACCAGGTTTCTAGACAGATGAAATGAGGCTGCATTTAGTTCTGTATCTCAAATAGTAACACAGGGAGGACAATCAAGGCATGAAGAGGTTAATGTAAGGGGCCAGCAGGTGGTATGATGGGTTAAGGCTCTGGGTCCCATATGGATGAGTGTGGTTCAAGTCCTAGACCCAGTGGCTTGAAAATCATGCCAGGTGCTTGTGCATGTGCAAAATCCCAAGAGAATGGAGAAGGGATTGCAGCATGGCTATTCCCACTTGGGGGGAGACTTCTCGCTTTCCCACTATGTCTCTGTCTTTCTCTCTCTCCAGAGACCACACGGACGCTATGACAGAAAATCTTAAAACAAAAAAAGAGGTTCATGTGAAACAAAAAAAACAAATACCTGAAGAAGTTCTATCCAGAACAAAACACAATAGAATAAGTGAGGAGAGTGAGAAATGAAAGATATAAAAAACGAGAAGTAATTCAGCAAGCCAAGACAAAGACAGGGTAGGCCAGACAGAGAAGTCCCTGGCAATCTACTGACTAGAAGTGACCACGCATGGCACTTTCACAACGTGTCACTGCTTCCTGCGTCTCTTGCTCACTCCCCAACCTTCTGAACTATCAGAAGTCAAGCCACAGCATCTCCAGGGCTCCAGCTTGTTAGTGATCTTGTTTTGCTTAAAATCGAAGCATTTCTAGGTCTTCTGCTTGCTCTGCAGGCAAGTTTCCTTCCACCGAAAAGAATTAATATTCCTAAATGTAATTATTTAGAAAAATTCAAAGATGGCCAAATACAAATATCTCAAGAAACTATTTTTACAGGATGCAAAATTATATGTGTATTTAATCCATTACCTTACTATTGCTTCTTTGATTAACTTTGAAAAATCCCAGAAATTTTTTCTTCTCTTTATCTGTCTCATCATTGCCAAGTGATGATTTTCTAAAGGTGTCTGGAAGAAAAAAAGGACTAAGTTATTTTTCAGCATTTGATACAAGGACTCAATAATTTAAAAATTTTAATACGTAAATCCTCTGTGCTTAAACTTTTAGTTATAAAAGAGAAAAACCAACGTGTTTGTTTGTTTTTCCCCAAAGTTTTTCCAGCTACCACAAAGCCTTCAGGCTTGTTTCAGAAACCCCTGGCAATTCTTACACAGTCTTTTAGAGATCGTAGCAGTATATTCGCTGGGTGTGTTTGTGTCTTTTTTGGAGGATGAACAAAACAAATGAACCAAGGGAAGTTCTAGGACTGTGCTGTTCGATAGAAAGCTAAAGGGAACCACATATGTAATTGTACATACTCCAGTACTATCCTGAGAAAGAACCAGGTGAAATTAATCTTAATAATAATTTTATTTAATCCAATGTATTTAAAATATTATCACTCCATCATGTAATCAATATAAAAGCTGCGGATAAGACAGTTTTCATTTGTTCTAGTGCTAAATATTCATGGTCCTGAGTGCATCTTAGGGTCGTGGCCCATCTCCACCCAGACAGACCACCTGCAGCACAGGAAACTCGGGTGGCCTGCGGCTGCAGGGCCAGACAGCACAATTCTGAGGATGGTGAGGACAGTGCAAAACACCTGATTCAACAGTCGTGTGTAAGGTAAACAGGCCAACGAAATGACAACCATCCACAGCCTTCTTGCTCATCTCCAGAACATGCGGTAACAGCGACAGGTGGCCCCGGTGGGGTGTGAAGCCATCTCACCAGGTCTCCCAGGACCCACGTGGCGATCTTCCTTCCTACTACATCCAGAATGTTTTCCTTTTTAATTACTTTCTCTACTTGGCCAGTTGTTTCTTTCCTCATCCTCCACCTCTTCTCCTGCCTCCTGTTGACTTCTATTTTCTTCAAGTCTACATCCTCTACCTCCCTGTCTGGGTATTGCAATGTTACCAGGATTTCAGAGCTAAGATGGGCTCTCACACGTTCCTGATGAGGACACTGAAGCCCAGACATGTCAAATCAGCCCAGGGTCAGAGTTCCCAAAGCAGGGATGTCAGGCAGATTCAGCCTCATAGAAACATGGGAGAGAAGGGATTCCCGGGCCACTCCTGACTCCAAGAAACCCTGGGGTAGACCTAGCACTAGCAGTTTAACAGCCCCCAGGAGATGCTCACACTGAGGGTCTGGAAAATACCCTTGCAAGGGTGGTGTAGGGGTGAAGAACACCTACACGTGAGGCACAGCGCTCAGCCCCTCTATAGCCTCAGTTTCTTCATCTGCAGACTGGGATGACGGCTTGGACTGAGAGGACAGTGATCTGGACATGGTACCTGCAGCTCTAGCGTGATTACAGGCCCTTCATTCATTTGCTCCCCATGACCACTCCAAGTCTTGCCACTGATTCACCCAATTCTTCTCTTCTAAGGCACATTGATATGATAAAAAGAGGAAATTAAATGTTCCTGAAGGAAAGAAAGATGGATTTTCCCTCATCATGGCCAAGTTCTGGGAGCCTGGCTCACTGCGGTCCACTGGTGGAAAAACTGTGGACAGGGGTTGTGCACGCTCTGACTACAGACCCCAACAAGGCAAACATCATTGGTCTCCTCCCCTGCTAAGACGTGCATAACTTCCTGTGTGAGTCTGAGGACAGACGTAAACGTCAGCACATCTGTAACACACCCATGCACTAACACTGTTCACTCCACAAAGCAGACACCAAGCACGCATGTTCCTTCAAGTCATTAGCAAAGGCTCAGGTTTTAGTTATGAGAGCAGGGCTCCGGAAAACAAGTGAGAGAACTCCAAGTCACACAAAGTCCAAACTAGAGGGCCCACCTCAGCATGACGCAGCTGCACAGACACGCATGTGCAGGCCCACTTCAGAGTTAGTCATGCCAGCGCTCTCTGTTAGGTGCACAGCTACAAAGAGTGAAGTGTACCAGGCTACAATCAAACCGCTTCCAAACTACAGGGTGTACTGACATGTACACGTGTGACCTAGGACGATCCTGGAGTTGATTGCTATGTGACATGGATCTACTAAGCCATGATATTACGGAGCCTACAGAGAAACAGAGATAGAACCGGTCACTAGAACACGGGCCATATTACATCAACTACAAACACGATAGAAAACTGCAACAAAGCTGAGCTTCTGAAGGGGACAGAAGCTGGTCACCACCCAACAGGGCTGGAGTCAGCCCGATGATGAAGCTCAGGGACGTTGCTGGCACCAGAACCCACCCACAACGTCCAGAGGCACCTTCTCCTCTGACCACAGCCTGCAGCTGTCTGCAGGAGGTGGAGGCTCACAGCTGATTCACAGCTCTGACTCATAGCGCTGAGCTGGGGCCTAAAGCAGATGGTCTATTTTTAGAGGCGAGGCTTGGTGAGCCTCCCGAGAGGTCTCTGAGGTCAGCGGATGCTGCAGAAGGACCCATCTGGGATCCAAGCAAGAGGACTTGATGTGCCCACTGCCCAGCACAGCACTCAACACTGGGCCTAGAGGTAGGCCAGGAAAGCAGATGTGCCTGAGACCTGGAACACACCATCCCACACGTGTGGTGATTTGTGTATGAAATCCATGTTGTTTGAAGTTACGCTAATTTATAAAAATTAAATATTAACAGAAGTTTGGGGCAGGTTCACACTTAATCTACAAGGAAGCACACAGTGTTTGGAAGCAATTAAAATTATGTGAAAAGTGAGAACGATGAATTGAGAGGTGTGGAAGATAGAGGAAGAACAACTAGTCCAAACTGTTAATTTGTCCCAAGGAGAAAATTTAAATCAAAGCGGTTGTGACCAGAACAAGGTCACCAAGCAAATAAGTGGAAGAGGAGGACCCAGTCAGCATCAAACCACTGGTGACAAGCATGTTTTAGTCCTAGTCCCTGTCACCAGACTGCACACTGGGTGACAAAGTGACAGGCCATTAATGCACCTCTTCCTCCATTCTCAGTCTATCCATACCCAAACAGAACCAAACTGAACTGACAAAGGCTTCATACACAGGAGTTTTCTGCTCAAAGCAACTACCCTTTCATGGTGCTTCTTAGAAACGATTGCTTCTATCTCTCTTTTTAAAAATTATATATATATATATATATATGTGTGTGTGTGTGTGTGTGTGTGTGTGTGTATGTAAATATATATGTGTGTATGTGTATTTAGAGAGAGATTTTTTGCTATACAGTAGGTGTGATGGCCAGAGAGACAGAGAGACAGAAAATGAGAAATCATCCCCAGCAGGGATGGCCACACCACAATCCCTTGTCCTCCTGGGATTTTGGGTACACACGCACATGCACCTGGTGTGAGTTTCAAGCCGCCAGGTCCAGGACTCAAACCATGGTCTGCCATGTGGGAGTCCAGGGACATGATCACTACGCCACCTATTGGTTCCAGAAATAGACAAGCATTTTAACATTCATCTGTACTGTGAGATGGAGCAGATCAGCAGCAGATAAGGGAGGCTGGGAATGGGCGAGTCAGTGCATGCTGAAATAGTCCATCTGCAGACCGTGGGTCCAGACCAAGGTTCTACATTTCTTTCATTATACTTTTTTTTTTAGAAATAAAATCTATCATTGAGTACTTTAACAAACATAAAATAAAACTTTCTATTTGTGTTTCAGGAAGAAATACTGTAGTTGAATATGGTTATACCAGAAAGTATAACAATTGATGGTTCAGTTTTAAATTGATACCTCCCTATCTTCCTGCTACTCTGTAACCGTTTCTACTCTCTGTCAACCATAAAATGCATATATGCCACAAATGTGAGAAATAAATTTATCATTTTGAATTAAAATAAAAAACCTTTCTGCTAAATATAATGATTCATTGGGATTTTAGCAAAACTTTGGGAATATACATATGTGAGTACATGCGTAGGTAAACACTCAAAGATTCATTAAAATCCCAGTATGGGTTGGCCTTGTTGCACAGTGGTTAAGTGCTGTGTATGGAGAGCCGGACCCTACATGGCAACTGCAATATGAATCTCAGCCCCAGTGGCTTGAAAACATGTCAGATAGTGTGCATGCATGCCCACAATCCTGATGGGGTGGAGAAGTGGAGGAGAGGGAGTACGGCATTACAGCGCACATGGGGGGTTGCTTTCTCTTTCTCTCTGGTGAGCACATAAGTTCTCTGGGAAAAAAAATCTACATGTATGAATGTATATGAACACTCACATACATATGTTTTTGTATAAGTATGTATTTATAAATACATATGTATCTTTCTACTTACTTGAGTGTGTATGTGCAAATGCATATGCAGAGAGAGAATTTCTAAGAGATAGCTGTCAGACTAAATGTGAAATCTGGGCTAATCATACGCATGCTTATGACACTCTAAATCCACGTGGCCCCCGATTCTGCAGCGGGCAGGACAAACCTTGAGGGCAGGCCAGCACAGGCAAGCAGAGATAAGAAGATACAGTGACTTTTCGCAGGCTCCACTTCCATTCTGTCCTGAACTTCAGGCCACCTGACTGTTTTCTACTGCAGCCTCTCTTGTTTCTTACCTCTGAGAGCCACACAGCAGATTCTCACACAGGGGACATTCTTCTCATCACCATTCAGAAAGTCAAGAAACCAAATCACCCCCTGGGTCAGCCAGGCAAGTGCCCAGAGGGACTCAAGCCACCTGCATTCCTTTGGCTCTGCACACAAATGCCCCCTCCATGCACCCGGCAGCCCAGAGCCATGCAAAGTGCAGCCTCAAGGGGCAGCGTTGGGCTCACTGTACCTCGACGGCTCAGGGAGGGCTCAGACTGAGTTTTGGTCAGAAGAACTGGAAAAAGGCAGGCAAGGAGACAGTGAGGACCAGACGGCCAGCTCCGCAGCCCCAGGCCCCTCATAAGCCTTGAATACAGAGAATAGTGCCTGCAGGTCCTGGAGAGATCTCCCAGGGTCTGATGGCTGAGCAGGCTGCTATGCGCCGCTATGGACACAGGTGGCAGCAAAGTCCGGAGCTTCTTCAAGCTGCAGCCTGCTGAGGCCTGGGATGCCAGGTGCGTGGCCTCGCCAAGCCAGGCCTCTCCTGCCAGCAACTCTCCCCATCCTCCAGCAGCTGCAGGGCAAATGCACCTCCAAGCGGGACCCAAGATGGAAAGAGCGAAGCGTCCCTCCACCAGCACCCCAGCAGGCCTGCTATAAAAGAGAATGGGCTCCTCAGGGACATGCCCTACGCTATTCTCCTTCCTACTTTAATGTCTGAGAATTAGCAGGATGAGACGAAGGTGGCTGGCAGGGACAGTAATCAGATACGTCAGGACCCGCATGGCACGGGCATGCTCCAGATGAAAGGGGCTGCCGGCCATGGGTTAGAGTAGGCACCCCATGGGGCG